ATTAATTAATTAATTAATTAATTAATTAATTAATTTGGACGTAAAGATTGACTCATTTGTTCATATTTGCCATTCATTAATAGTAGCATCATGAAGTGATTTCTCTGTTGAAATATGTGTTATAGGCCAAACTGCTATTGTCCCGTGTGAACTCCAGCATATGACTTTGCAATAAAACATTATTAAATTCAGCAGCTAGTATAAAACCAAAAAGTGGTGATGTATTATGCACTATACTGTATGTTATTAAAAAAATAGCTCTAACCCTAACTTTTTCCAGGAGTGGTATAAAGAGGAATGTTTAAAACCATGGATGGAGAATTTTCACAGCCATTTTCCACCACTTCACAAATCACAAATCACATGGGGGAAAAGTTGGATAGAGAGGTTTCTTCTTCCTGCAGCTCTCTGAATTATTTTGTGCAGATAAACTGCAGAAAGGGAGGGGGGAGTTCTATTAACATTATATTCTGCCATCATTAGTCAAATATTTATCTTATAAGTTGCTCTGACCTTTTCATACAATTAGATAACAAGAGAAACTTTAAGTGGATTTTCCTGTCTTCTGCTATAAAATCAACAGCTTTTTAAACTTCTCTTCAGGATGCTGCAAGTGGAATATGAGCAACTCAAGGAACAGCATCTTCGAAAGGGAATCAATGCCCTAAATTCACCTCCGGACTCAGCTGTGTCACCTCAACACACTACTGAAGATGCTGAACTCATTGCAGAGGCCAAACTTTTACGACAACACAAGGGGCGCCTGGAAGCTAGGATGCAAATCTTGGAAGACCACAATAAGCAATTGGAATCTCAGCTTCACAGGCTACGACAACTGCTGGAACAGGTATTGAATTCAGCGACTTTCTCCCTAGGACAGCAGTTATTTATAGACACACAGAGTGAAGCTAGTTAATTGTATTTGACTTTCTTACAGACATACTGTTTTGTGCTCTGTTTGGGTTCTCTCTCCAAAATGATTTTAATGTTTTGCCAAGAGTAAAGCGACATTTTTCATTCATTCATTCATTCATTCATTCATTCATTCTTTATTTATTTACTTACTTACTTACTTACTTACTTACTTACTTACTTACTTACTTACTTACTTACTTACTTACTTACTTAATGTTTCCAGACTGCTTATCTGCTTCAAGTGGGGCTTTGGGCAGTATATAATATAAATCAACATATAAATCAGCTGGATTTAAAATGTTTTAACTGGCATTTCGAAGGCACCAAGGCACGGGAGCCAGGCACCATCAAACAGGTGCTCACACAGCTTG